CACCGGGCCGCCGCCTCGTCCTGCTTCTCCGAGGTGCCGCGGGGTCAGGCAGCGGGGCAGGCCGCAGGGCGCGCCCCGGGGCCTGCGGGGCCTCCCGGGCTCAGCATGCCCGGGGTGAAGCTGACCACCCAGGCCTACTGCAAGATGGTGCTGCACGGCGCCAAGTACCCGCACTGCGCCGTCAACGGGCTCCTGGTGGCCGAGAAGCAGAAGCCGCGAAAGGAGCACCTGCCCCTGGGCGGCCCGGGCGCCCACCACACCCTCTTCGTGGACTGCATCCCCCTCTTCCACGGCACGCTGGCCCTCGCCCCCATGCTGGAGGTGGCCCTCACCCTGGTAAGCGCGCCCCGCCGGTTCCCCGCCCAGGCCGGGGGCCCCTCCGAGGAGCCGCGGCCGCGCTGGCCCCTAGCCGGCCCCGGGGCGCCGGACGCTCCGAAACCTGCAGCCTTTGCAGAAGCAAGCTCGGTCCACGGGGGCGAGTGGACAGTCCCTGCCGCGGGAAGGGCGTGCGTGGGGGCCGAGGCGCACCCCACCAGGCGACTCCGCGGCTGCCGTGGGTGAGCGCCCCGCCGACCTCCGCTCTGAAAGGGGGCGCGTCGTGCCCCTCGGGAGAATTCGTTCCTGTTAGTTTTGAAAGTGAAGTCATTGTTCCGAAGGTGAGGAGCAGAGGCCTTTCGTCCCGCGCTGTTCTGTTCTGCCGGCTTAGTGGGAGTGCAGCCGGGGTGGGTTTAGGCAGCAGGCTTGGCGCGTTCCGAAACGCGACGGAGAGAACTAGCCTCGGACCTGCCCCTCCGAGCCCAGCGGACTGTCTGGTTTTAAGAATGATCTGCGTGGGACCAGCAGTTAGCATAATGGCTATGTCGCTGGACTCCCAGGAAGTCGACCGCGGTTCACGTCCCGGACCTGGTGGCTTAAATTCACACCGGGCGTGTGTGCATGCGTGCCCAAGATCCCAGGAGGAGAAGGGATTGCGGCGTGACCATCCCCTCGGGGGTGATTTCTCACTTTCAGTCTCTGTCTCTCTTTCTGGCGAGCCACGTGTCCTATAGCAAAAACCTCTCCAAAAAAATTATCTATGATGCTTAAGATCATTAGTTAATTAATGAAGAAGGAACACAATTTGAGAAGGTGTAGGTAGGATTCCTCCTCCATTCCCGTCACCAAATAAAATTCACCTAATTGTGACACCCAGGAATTCCTGGCAGCAGGAAGTGCCTCTCAGGCGTCCTGGCCTAAGGGTGCCATGCACCTGAGTGCTGTTAACCGCGAGCTGAGCCGTCTTGTGCCTTGTTTCCAAGTCATTGCTGGTCCGAAGACAGTAGTGGGGTGTCTCTGAGGTCAGCCGTTTTACTGGCTGAAGACATGCGCTCGCTGGGGAGCGCGTGTTCGGATCCAGGCTCTGAATCACGGTGGAGAGTTGCAGGGAGGTTGGGTCTGTGAAGCGTCGGCCTTCCGAGACTCGTTCTCAGGGAGCCCGTGCAGCCGCTCCGTCCTCCAGGAGCTGGTTTGGAGCGTGCGCTTTGTGCCGCGCCTGTGTGGAAGGATGTGGGTCCGACACAGCCCCGCCCGGGCACGGTCCCCACAGTCCCGGAGAACACTGCCGCCTGTGGGGCGAGGGATCTGAGAAAGCTAGCCGGGCTTAGGGGGCCAGCATGTGTGAAGACCAGGAAAACTGGTGCGAGACCCAGGGTGTTTGGGGGAAGCTGGAGGTGGGGTGGGGTGGGGCGAGCAGGCGGGGCCATTGCCCTGGGGGTTGCCCTCGGGGCTCACACAGGCCGTGGGCACTGTCCCATCCCGGGAGGGAAAGCCCCTGGAGGAGAGCCGCATGGTCAGGTGGGCTGCTTCCAGGGATGGCTCCAGCCTGCGGCGCCAGGATGCTGGAGACTCATGGCAGGGAGGGCTCAGCTGACTGTGGGTGTGGGAGGGAGAACCCACAGACTCGCTGACTAGCCACACATGGGCTGGGGGACACGGCAAGTGAGGGCGCCTCCCAGCTTCTTGGCTTTGCCTTGGAATCGGGTGATGCAAACCCTGCAGTTGACCATGTGGCAGGTGATGGTGCCGCTCATTGAAGGATAGAGGCAGAGAAGCAGACTTGGAGGAGAGGGGGTTTTGTTTAGGATATGCCAAGTTTGAGGTGTTCTGATGGGAAAAGCTTCACGTAAAAGTTGTAAAATGGGGACCAGAAGATGGCGTAATGGTTTCATTGGTGGACTCCCATGTAACCGACCATGGTTCGAGTCCCAGACCTCTGGTGGCTTAAAATTCACACCACGTGTTGGGACCAGCAGTTAGCGAAATGGCTTTGTCGCTGGACTCCCATGTAGTTTACCTCAGTTCGAGTCCCAGACCCGGTGGCTTAAACTCACACCGGGTCCCCCTTGGGTGAATGCTTTCTCACTTTCCCTTTCTGTCTCTCACTCTGTTGCTCTCTGGTCAAGTTAAAATAATAATGATAAATAAAATAATTCTTAAAGGAAGAAAAACTCACACCACGCACATGTTTGGCCTGCCCAAAATCCCGAGAGGAGAGTGGAGAACCGATTGCCCCTGGGGGGTGATCTCTCGCTTTCTGTCTCTATGGCAAGCACACACACCTTATAGCAAAAATCTCTATTTTAAAAAAATTTTTAAAAAAAGGTTGTAAAATAGGTTCAAAACTGAGAGCCAGCAGTTAGCGTAATGGCTATGTTGCTGGACTCCCACATAGTCGACCGCGGTTCGTGTCCCGGACCTGGTGGCTTAAAACTCACGCCGGGCGCGTG